GGGAAAAAAAAAAAAAAAAACAAAAAAAAAAAAAAAAAAAAAAAAAAAAGAAGTGACCCCCATATACTTTCATTCCAGGTCCCTATTTTGATGTTTGATCTATATTTCTAACTGGCTGCTGCAATTTTGTTTGAAAGTCCACTATGAACTGAAACTCCTCAAGCCCCAAAGAGATTCATTTCTTCCCTTTCCTTTCACCACCCCTCTGGGTGTCCATATTCTGTCTCTTGAAAGCCCAAAAGTCAGCTGCAAAGTTCCCCTCAGTCTTCCATGCAAGTCTCAGTTCCACCCTCACCATGGATTCTTCACTGGCAACATGAAACAGTAGGTTTATTGCTAAGAGACATCCATCTATGGGTGTAATATTTTAAGATGTTGAGATTTAAAATGGAAGGGATCATAATTTCTAGCTGTCAGAAAGACCAAATACTCAGCTTCAAGGTTACGTGGACTTGCCTAATGCTCCTGCAGCCACAGGCTTGGAGTTGCTCTGCTGGAAGATATTACCTGGCCACCAAACTGCCAACTCAGACAGGTGAACATGCTGAGGAAGCTCAACCAGCTGGTTTCTAAAATTTCTCACCCACTCTTTAATTCTAGTGATTTTGTAAGTTCTCTAGTTGCAATCGATGAATGTTCCTGTCCTGCTAATGCTTCTCCATGGTTCCCCGTAGTTCAAGTAAATGCATCTCCTTGAGAGGGAAATCCAGCTTGGTTTGTATCCTCAGCCTTCACATCCCATGAACACTGCTCTCTGCAGCTAAGTAGAACTGTTAAAGCTCCCCGGGCTCAGAGGGGACAGATGTAGGAAATCAGTCAGGTGGTTTCCCAGGCCACCCGTCTTCCAGGAACACAAATGTATCTCACTGAATTATGGTGAGGATGAGAAAGGCATGTTTATTAGGACTCTTTGCAGAAGGGAGGGTCCCTGAGCCCTTGAAGGAGGCTGCAGGTTCCTGAGGGACTTGGATTTGTCTGGGTTTGTTTTGTGGGTCTGGGGCCAGAGGAGCGGCCAAGCTCTCAGCCAGAGACTCCCCTTCTTCACCTTCCCTAGAGCACGTGGCCTCTTCTCTCCGTGAAAGCGGGCCCAACATTTACAGGGGTCTCAGGCTGCCAGCTGCCCTCATGCCCAGGTCTCCAGCACCCCGGCCTTAGCTCAGTCTTGGTGGGGGGACTCCACTCGGATGAATATTCTCCCCCTATTTTTCACTTTGTTAACAGCGACTTGTCTTCCTGGACTCTGCTCAAAAGTGGTCTCCTCCAGGAAATCACTGGTTGCTTGGCCCACCCCGCGCTGCCCAGGCTGATGCGGATGCCACTCCTCCGGTCATACTTCCATCAAAGCATGCAAGGCTGTCTTCCCTTTATTGCTTTCTGGGTCTGGCTCTGGTACCTGACTTTTAAGTCCCTTAGGACAGCAAAGTCAGACTGTCTGGGCTCATGTCTGGCTCTACCACTTACCAATTGGGTGGCTATGGGACAGTTACTTACATTCAATGTGCCTCAGTCTTCTCACTCATAAAATGGGTATAAAGTAGTTCTCATCCACAGGGTAGTCGTAATAATTAAAAGAGATAATTCAGGGAGAGAGCT